TGCGTGTTTTAACAGAGTTTATAGAATCTGGCAAATAAAATAGTTAGAATGAAGTTTGCTATGTATGTTGTATGTCAGTGTTTTAACAGAATTGATCTGTATCGATTTTACGCATGTACCAATTTTGCGATATCCAGAGCATCTATGAAGTTTCTTTATTTGGTTGGAATTCTAACCCTAGTGATTTGAGCAGGGAAGCCATGAAGCACAATAACGTTATCCCTAGTGGCCACTTTAGGAAGCACTGGCAAAATTATGTTAGAACTTGGTTCAACCAACCTGCTCGGAAAACAAGGAGAAGGAATGGTGAGTATCTGGGTTTTCTTCGAGTTCATCCGTGGTTAGATGTTGAAGGTTTTATGTATTGTTTCAACTGATTTTTCTTGTGTAATCCTTCACTAGCTCGTCAAGAGAAGGCTGTGAAAAATTTCCCTCGCCCCACTGCTGGACCGCTTCGTCCTGTTGTCCATGGACAGACACTTAAGTATAACATGAAAGTCAGGGCTGGTAGAGGCTTCTCTTTGGAAGAGTTGAAGGTGGGATTACTTTTTCAGTCAATTGTTTTGCTATTGCTTTGCCATTCTTTTCAGATTAACGAATAGATGCTTTATTGAGTCATGAGATTAGATATTAGTTGAAATATCAATACAGTTGTAGATGTTGATTGAAGAACATGTTTGCAGATTTAATGAAGTATGATTGTGTTTAAAATGGTTGAACCTGACAAAATTTTCATAAACCAGGCCGCTGGAATCCCAAAGAAGTATGCACCAACAATTGGCATAGCAGTTGATCATCGGCGCAGGAACCGCTCCTTGGAGAGTCTTCAAGCTAATGTGCAGAGGTTGAAGACATACAAGGCCAAGGTCGTCGTCTTCCCACGACGTGCCCGTAAATTCAAGGTAACTAACTCTTCCAACTGCTGGAGCAAATACAATTCATAAGTTAAACCTTTTGTATCTGGATCATAACATCACATATTTGTTGATGTAGAATGGTGATTCTGCTCCCGAGGAACTAGCAACTGCCACCCAGGTCCACGGACCTTACATGTCTATTGGTCTAGAAAAGCCATCAGTTGAGCTCGTGGACATCACAGAAAAGATGAAATCGTTCAAGGCATACGATAAGCTTCGTCTTGAGCGAACAAATGCTCGCCATGTTGGTGCTCGGTTGAAGAGAGCGGCCGAGGCAGAGAAGGATGAAAAGAAGTAGATGGTTCCAATGTTTTCAACTGCATGCCCATGTGTTTCGAGTGAAAATTCAAGTTGCTATAGTGTTCGGCATTTAATTAAGTTATGTTTTTACCCCGCTTTATATGATGTGCAAACCTGAGTTATGAGTTCAATTTTGAAATGATTAGAGATTGTTATTTATGCATATTGAACATACGCTGATTTTCATCGGTTTTGCACCTATGATTTTTAAGTCAGAGATATACGCCTTAGCCTGGTCTCTGATTTTTTTTTTTTCCTTATACATCCATTTTTGAGGTGGTTATTTTATGCCGCATCATCTTAAATTATTGAAATTTACTACTCATTTTGGTTCGGATTGGTTTGTAACTATTTAGTTATACTTGTAGAAATGTAATGTTTGTCTTCAGTTTAAGTTTTTATTAATAATTTGGTTGGGTAACAATCATTACAATGTAGGTAAATGGATGAAACTTGCAAATATTTTTATGATTCAAAAGTACATGTAATTCAATAATATAGTAATAAAATTTTTAGTGTTAAGGAATTCAATTGTGTTATAAATTGTTACAGAAGGAAAATAGAGGCAAGCACAATTGCTAAATTAATTAATTATTATAAGATTAAATAATGTGTTTTAATTGATTTCAATATAAATGTTGGAGTTTCCAACTGGAGTTTCCAACTCTACAAAAATGTCGAACATTAATTTTAGGTCTCAATTTTTTTTCTTTTTTGTACAATTAACAAGAGATTTGTGAACACTAGTTCAATTTTATGAAAATATTGATAGAATGGATAAAATATTAATGTGGAGAGATATTATTAAAATATAAATACAGAATTTAAGTTATTAATAAAAGAAAACTATTCAAATTTTTACATATATGAAAATTTTTATTTGTTTTTTTATTAATGAAAATTTTGGAGTTGTAGAATATTTAATACCCTAGTTTTAATCAATCGTTTCTAGATTATTTCATTAAATTTCTCTTTAAAAAATATTTAATTTGGTACATTAAAAATATATTATTAAATGAGTGTTCAGTACATTTCAATTATAAATATTAAAAAAAAAACAAGTTATGGTGTTTTGTAAATTAGTATTAAATTGTTATAATTTGACTATAATAACTAAAATAGACATGCTGGTAAAAGTTGTGAAATTTATTGTCGATAACTTATAAATATTTTAAAGATAATTATTTAAAATTTATATGATTTCCAATTTAAAATTAGAACGGAGAACCATTCTTCTCATTGTCACTCTTTTTCTCTCTCCATAGTTGTTCCCTCTCTCCCTCCCATTCTTTCCATTTGAGTGAGTCTATGAAACAAACAAAACACAATTTTGTTTAAGTCTCTAAAAACAATTTATAGGTTTCTTCCATTTTCATTTTCAAAATATCAGAATACATATGACAACATCTTAAACAAGATTACAGTGGCTTGGATAGAAAAATCCAAACAAAAAGAACAATATAGGAACAAGATTTGAAGCTAAAACGAGCCTAACTTAGTGGTAAATAACATCTACTCCTAACTAAGTTCTGATTATCGAGAACACATCCAGAAACTGTCCGAAACAGTTATTCAGGGGAAATGTCCAAGTACTTAAGAAGAACCTGGCTTGCAATGGTAGCATAACAATAGTGGACTAAACAACTATAGAGATGGTGAATTGTTGCGAAGCCCAAAAGGGCCCCTGAAACTGCAGGTGTTAGGTTCTGAAATTCCCTCGAAATGAAACCTATGGAGTAGGAAAATTCGGTTTCTATATTCCAGTTTCTAAGTTCATCAGAGCCAATGTCTCCAAGCACTGAAAATCAAAACACTGCCTCCCCTCACGTCTGGTCCCATCCCTGAACAAACTATGGCTATATAAGATAATAATAATAATAGTTCATGATCATCAGACGGTAGAATGGGTGTTAAAAAGTTTGCCAGTAAAAGATTACCTTGAAAAACTAATCAGAAAGTTCAGAATCAATGGCTGGAATTTGGCGAAAACGAGAAAAGTGGCGTAAGTAGGGCATTCTGTTTTTATTTTGCAGCATTGATCTCTTCCGCCTTGCTGAGAATCCTTTACCAGAAAGCGAAGCAAATAAATATCCCATATCCATGTCCTTCTTGGCTCCCATACCATCATCCGCAAAACTGCATCAGCAATTAGACACTCAAGTGTTATCAAAGGATAAAAGGATCAATTTGGGGTAACCAAGTAGAGAAAGAGCTTCGAGAACATTCACTTTACGAATCAACGCAGATAATAAAAAGAAAGAAAAAAGGCATTAACTCCAGTTTTTTTAATACTATTAACCTCTGAGTTATCATTGACCACAGACACCTTTAGAAGAAACAGGTTACCAATTACCATGACCTCTGAATTACCATCTACGACTAAACAAGTTCCCTATAGTCCCTTATAATAAACTCAAAAAGAAAAAGGCCGGGCAGGGCCACACCGAATACTCAAAAGAGTGGAACTTAATGCTCAAGTCATATTGACTTCTGATCTTAATATCTCAAATGTCTATAATATTTTTGACCTGGCCACTTATTACACTCTTGATGAGCCACGAATCATGATTGGAAACTGATGTTTTCTTTTAAGAGGGAGAGAATTGATGTAGGCTCCTTTGGGTACACTTGTATATTAGTTGTATTTTGTTTGATTTTTCAGTTAGTTAAGTTAGTACGTATGGTTTTATTAGTTACTTTCTTATTTATGAATTATGACTTGTTAGTTATCTGACAGTTTATGTAGTTAAGTAGTTATCCTTGTAAGCCTATTTATGAAGGCTAGGATTCCTGGACTTGGTTGTACATATATTTTGGGAAACTAATAAAGCAGTTCTTTGTCCTTACCAGTCACACCACAATGAAGCGATGGAAAGCTAAGATATGGCGAGGAAAGATAAATTAGTCAATTTTTTCTGAACTTGTATCATCAGTCACCCTCCAGCTTCTTTGTTGGGTTAAAAACAAAATTGACATATAATACAATCAAGAAATGATTCTTATGCTGGAAGAAAATGAAATGAAGAGACAAGTAGATAGATTCTAGTATCATATAATGAAGAAATCAAGACTCCAAAATAAGCGATAAGAACTATACCGTTCACGGATTGTCTTAAAAGCTTCTTTAGTTGCATAAGGTAACCCTGTTTTTGGGTCACGATACCTGCAGCATAAAAGCAGTAATTACAAGAGAGAGCAGTAGGCTGCAGAATTATCAAGTTCTTAATACCCGACTTAATTACTGTTTTAAGAGCAATACCGTGCAGAAAACTGAAGTTCCTTTAATTGCATAAGGTAACTCTGTTTCTGCGGTGTATTAAGGTCTGAGGATTGCACCTTCATCTACTACTATTTAAAAAAACAAGGATAAGACTTCTTCTGCTCTATCCAAAACCACTGACCTATCTATCTTTAATGATTTCTATTATACAACAAATACGAAGGAATTAGACCATGTTGGCTTCCGATTGAGGACAATTGAACTAGGCTTATAAACTACATCATCATGATTCATGAAGCATTTGAACTTTTATTTTTTCAGATTAAAAGAACGTCAGAACAATCACTTGAACCTTTTCTTTGGAATAGGAAAATAAGAACAAAATATAAGAAGGCTTGGACCCTTTCTCCCTCTGTTTGCTGCCTTTGTTCCGAGGGAAGATATAAATCATCTTTTCTTACATTGCAACTTTGCCTCCAAAGGTTGGTCTTTTATTCTTTGTGAGGTTGGCCTTTCTTTATGTTTGCCTTTTTAAAATAAAGGATTGGGTTTTGGAGGCCATTGGGGTTGGAATTTAAGAAAATTTGTGGAAATATGCAGTTAGAACTCTTCTTTGGCATATTTGGAAGGGACAGAAGTCAGCGCATTTTTTAAGATAAGTTCACTGCTTTAGATTTATTTTTTTCTTCTGTAGTATTGTGTTCAGCACAATGCTTCTTAGTGGTGCTCAAATCACTAGAAATTCTTTTGTAATTATAGATTTTGTTGATTTTGTCAAATTGGCAGCCTCTTATTTCATATGTAGTTCGTTCTCGAGCAGGGACCTTCTCGTCCCTCGCCATTAGGGTGTTCCTTTCCTTTCCTTTCTGAATATACATCTTTCTGTTTATTAGAAAAAAAAAAGAAAAAAAATTTAAGAAGCAACAAATAGCATTGAGATCCTACCTCGCAGGCAAACCAGTTATCACACATACATTTTTCTCTGGATCTGTACAGAAAAAGGGAAGAGAGAAAAAATACTTAGGTGCTAAAATTTTAAAGAAACTTACAGTGCACAAAAGTATACTAGATTCTCTCAAGTCTCAATGTTTTCCAATTTCATATGCATTGCAGAAGATAGAGGACAAAGGATTACATAATTTACATTAAAACCTGATCATCTTTGAGTACAAAGGAAGAGGAAAAAAGAACCAAGAACTTAATGAAATGAATTTGACACCTTACAAGCACATTCCAAGGGACATTAGCTCTCAGAAGTCAGAACTCTCTCAGAAGTCAGAACTAAGATTTAACTCATCATATTTAGAAGGGTAAATCACACTTTTTTCTCATAAGAAATCTTACTATTCATTGAAAATTTGAAAAGATGTAAAAATTAAAAAAATAATAATAATTAAAAAAAGAGGAACCAAATAAGCTTACGAGAGGGTCACTCCAATTGTGGGGGGGAGGGGGGGGGGGGATGTACTGGCCCGAACAAGATCCATTTTTTTCTTTTTGGCAGTAAACAATTTTTTTTACCATGACAAATACAAGGAAGCAGGATATCAGACAAATTTTTGGAGCTAACAATGCTTGATGATTTGCTGTTTTATAACTAAAGTGGATGATCATGTACAAGTAATTACATGGAACTGATGCGGTTGAAAGCTCTGCCTGAAATGATGATCCTTTACTAAACTCTAGATACGAGCAACCTGCAACAAAACACATCAATATTACCTAATTCCAAACATGGACAGTTCTTATCTGAAAGAACACAAAATTTCAATTGCACTTCAGAAGGTACCACTTATTGATAAGTATCGTATCCGTGGACCACTGTACACATCTTTATGCACAATTGCTCTCTTTTTGACTTCTTCTTCCCTTGCCAAAACACGCTCCAAATTCCTCAAGTTCATGATTTCTTAGATATGGAAGTTTGAAATATTAATCCAAGAGAAAAATGAGAGCATTCCTACTAGTATCATCCAGAGTATCAAGTTACAACAACATACATTAGCCATCAGTTTCACCTGTTTGAGCAGCTTCAAGAAGCATGTCTTCCTGACTCATCTTCTTCTCCTCGCCTGGATTTTTCCTCTTTATTGGCTAGTAGACAAGAAAGGATACAATCTCACTCATATCTAATACTGTAAACAGTGATTTTGTGAAAATTATTTGATGGTAAACATTAGAGTAATATTACACATTGCAGGACAAGAAGCAGGATAGGAACTTCTTGGGAAAGGAAAAAATATGCGATTAATAATTAGAACCACATAAACAGAACAGTGTATTCATTTGGTAAGGCAATAAAGGCTCGTATGTAGAAGACTTGGATTAGAAGAAAGCAAAGCATCTTCCACCCCTAGATAGATGGAAACGTTTCCACCTATCTAACTTCTTAGATACTTTTTCAAGAACCAGGTGCCAAAAATCTGTGCTTTTAGGATTACCACCTAAGAGTAAGTCTAAGTACAAAAAAGGAAGAATATCAACTTTGCAATAAAAAGTGGAAGCGGTCTGCTGCACCTTTTGGAACTGATACCATTAGAACTCATTAGAACTCAAAAGATTCTGTCTTATATTTTTAATTTTTTTCCCTTATGCAGGATTTTTTTCTCATTTCATCTCATCTCTTAAACACATAATGGATCTCAAGATTGAAATGGATGCTCATTAACATGACACAACAAATGACTAAGAAATTGAGAGGATGATAAAAAAATTTCAAGTAGTTGAAGAGAATATGAACCAAATAAAAGTTTCTACTCCATCATAGCATCACAATATTCAAAACAAGAAACTGCTTTCAAGAAAATCTCAAACCACTCCAACAAACCAAGTATTCAGGACTCACCTTCATTGTGGCTTGCAAAGCCGCACGAATAGCATCCCTCTCAGCTTGCCTAACAATAACTGAAGTTCTAGTGGATTTCCTCACCGTTCTCTCCACTTCAGTATCATCTGGTGTATCATGATGTTCAGGAGGTGTAGAGTGATCAGTTGATGCTTCATCTTTAGAAGGCGTCTCTATTTTCGAAACAGCTCTCTTTTTATTCTTTTTCTTTGAAGAAGTCTTTCCCGGAAATATTAGTCGCTTCTTTGTTTGTGTCCTAGAAGAAAACCCAATTTTAAAAAATAAATATTTCTAATCCAACCTCCAAGCATTTTGGAGAAGATAAAAGTAAAACCTGTCATCTGCTTCATTCTCAGCTTCTTCCTCTGGTTCGGACTCCTATCAAGAAAATATAGCCAAAGAGGATTTATTTGACCATAAATACATGTTGTGACAGGGTTAGGGAACTGAAACAGAACTCACATCTTCATTGAAATCACTATCAAATTCATCAGCAATCTCAGGTTCTTCTTCATATTCATCATCATTCTCTTCCTGCAGCGTGTTTTGAAGATTTACAAGTTCAGAAAAGATAATCAATTCAGTCAAGAAAACACAATCCTCATCATTTAGTGGACACATGTCCCCAATCTAACGGAGGCCGTCCAGACGGACCAGATCATGGCGTCATAAGACGGAAATTCGACAGTATAATGAAATCTAAGTGAATGTGTACAGGATCAAATTCAGCGAAATCTTCAAAATTGGACATTAAATGGGGGAGAAAATGAAAAACATTGCATAATTGCACCATGGTGTTACAGTTAACCACCAAAAAGCCAAAAAAAAAAAAAGAAGAAGAAAAATTACTATAATATCATATGGTGCGCAGAGATTAAGTAAAAAAGATTATTTCCAAAGTACCTCTTTCAGAGCTTCCTGATTCCAAAACAACTCGTCTTCTTCGACTTCCTCATCAAGCAGCCTGGTCATCCTATAACCAACAAGAATACCCCATTCATAAATACATACCAATTGGAACATTTTGCATCAATCTTGTTGCCAATTTGCAATCAAATCCATCCCCAAGAAGATAAAAGAAAAGATAGGAAAGTTGTCCCTCACCTCTTTCCTCTAGTCAACCGAGAAGAACGATCAAGAAAAACGGGAGCATCTTCTTCTTTGGTGGTTTCCATGACTGGAAAAAGAACCCACAAAAGATTGCCGGAGAATGAAGTTCAAGACTGATTATTCCAATAACGTAGAGAAAACACAGCCGGCAACCGGTGGCGGAGAAGCGATAGTGGATTACGAGTACCCACTGGTTGTCGGAACTCGAATCGGACAGTGACGATAACTTAAGACGATCTGGCGTAACGTAACAAAACAATGAAGCGCGAGAAATTTTGGGCGATAGAATTCGATAGTGCTCCACCTTAACCCCTGTTTACAGTTTACACCATGGGTATGGTTCTGCACAAATTAGAGAAATGGAAAAAATCCGATATGATTGATGACACTTTTCAGGGCGAGTCGGAGGGATAGGAATTAGGATAAACGGAACGGAACGGAGTTCGACAAGGGGCGCCGAGAGTGAATGTGAAGTGGCGAGTGAAGGCGGGAACGGCGGGGAAAAGGATTATAGAGGCATTAAAAAAGGGAAAATATTTTTTTCTTTTTGAAGTGAAAAAAAAACCAAAGAAAACACTTGTGACCCGGTAACTTTTCAATTTTAGTTCATTTTAATATCTTTCTTCAAAATTTCTATTTTGGTTTATAATTTTAGTTAAATGGGATTATTTTAGTCTCTTCATTTTATTTTAATTAATTTTTTAGAATGGAGATTGAATTTACAGCATCTATGAAAGATATAGGTTAATGAAATAGTTCGCATTGATTTATTAGGGATATGTTACATCAAATTTGAGTTTAAAGATAACTATTTTCTTTTATACAATATTTGAGATGGGATCTCACAATCTCGTTTATAATATATGATATTTTAGGTATTGATTAAATTTGCTGTAATATAATATTATTGGTTTAAGTTTATTTTTCGTGAAAAAACATTCTGACCGCAGAGACGAGCTGCCGAAGCGATAGAGACATTTCCAGCAAGCGAACACGCATAACTTGCAGTGGAAGAAGCGGCCATCCAAACAACTGCAATACAACTTGGAATGATAGCTTCAACAGCTCTGCCGCCATGGCAGCCACCGCTTCAAGCTCCGTTAAGGCTGAGGAGGAGGCCCTCAATCCCTCTGCGGAGGGTTGGCTTCGTTCAGGCGTACCGTCGCGGGAACAGCGATGATTTTGGCGAGGCCTGGAATAAAGTGTGGCGAGGCGCCAACGATGGTTTCGAGAAATTCGTATTCGAGGCGAGGAAAACCGCGGAGCGCCTCGACAGGCGCTACTCTGTATCGCGCCGTGTTAGCTCTGTTGCCCAATCAGCGGCCGAGCGGGCGCGCGAGATTGATAGGGAGTTCGGGATTGGATTGCGTTGGCGTAATTTTACATTGGATTTTAGCAGAAATTGGCCAAGGGTTTGTACTGCGGATTGATTGGTATTCGTGTTTGTGAAATGAATTTGTGTAGATAGGGCCTTGTTTTGTCCCAACTTGCGGAGTTAACATTGATTGTGGAAGGGAACTTTTGATATTTTAGTTTTCTGATTGATATGTTCTTAATTAATTCTCTATAAGATTAGCATTCAGTTCGAGTATCAATGCTTGATGTCTTGATATTTATAATTTGCTGGTTTCCACTGAAGTGGAATGAAAATCATATCTTTTTTTTGTTGTCCGTAATTTTGGGTATTCTTGCATGTTATGATGCTTTCAACCCCTAATTCATAGCTGTGCCAATCTTTTACTCATTTTAGAACTACTACCCTTTGTTTGAACCACTTTAAAATGTCTGTTGAATTTTGTTGTTTTGTTACCTATTTAGTGCTCTAATGTCAGTGCCGTTCCTTATCTCACTCACCCGTATTTCCCTTGGTCTGTGCAGTATAGGAGGCAACTCAATGAATTTATGGACACGCCATTAGGGAAAAGTTTTGTGGTACGTGGTACAAGCTTCTCTTCTAGATATACGTTGTTGTTATTAAGATTATTGGTGTCAATGGTGGTCTCTGTTTAACGTGTTCTTAGAATGGCAATGATGCGACTCACTGCACTTTATTTTTTAAGAAAATAACAATGACCTACAGGCATTAAGAAATTAGTACATTTTATTTTTATTTTCTTTTTGATTAGAAACATCAATATGCATTAGACAAAGGGGCAAAAGAACAGCCTAGGGGCCGGGGTAGAGAGAACCCCTGCTGAAAGCAACTATACAATCAGAGCTTTCCCATGATTGGTAACGATGAGGTGTAGATTGTCCATCCAGAGTAGGTACTTTTGTTGTTGAAATAGTCTTATCTCACTCTTCAAGATCATTGGTTGGATGGATGAAGAGTGCCAATTCCTTAAGTCTTGAATATGCCAAGATGTGTTGTATATGTTCCTGGTATTTACTTGTAATCTACTCTTATCAATACTATATAGGCAGAATAACTTAGTGAACAAAGGAGGGAAGACTAAGTATCTGCCCATAAAACAATTGAAGAGAGTACAAAAAAGCTCTCCAATTGACTGTAATTACAAAAAAGAGTATTACAAAAATCTAGAATCAGCTATCCAAGGTAGTAAATAAGATTTTGTTCCTCCTTAACTTTTCTTCCGTCATAAAAAAAATGATGTCAAAGTGAGTATAGCTCAGCGGTAATTGGCATAATCTCCAACCAAGAGGTTGTGAGTTTGATCTCCCACCCCTACACGTTATATTAAAAAAATGATAAGGCCTCTTTAATTGCACATTTGAGCCAATATTCATAATCATTTTGCAAGGTCCAATCTTCTTATGCTCGAGTTTATTATATTGCCTAGAAGGGAATTATACTTTCTGTAAGTAAACTATGACAAAATCTTCCTAAAAGGAACCTCTCTCTCTCTCTCTTTTTTATATAATATTAGAAGAAACAATTTCATTGATAATATGAAATTAAAAGTACAAAATAGGGAGAAGAACCCATTCCAATTTTGAAGTGCTCACTGGACTCTGTGGCCTTCACAACACTAGACAGATTCTTGATAACCTCTTTACGGGTATTTTGTACCTAAGCTATTAGGTCTTCTGCTTTAGTATATGAGATAGCATAATTTGGAAGTGGAACTAGATCCATCCAATGGACACGAGTTTATACAATCTTAGAAGGAAGGAGAGAGGCCAATGGCCATATGAGATGCTGCCAAAAATCATCCCAGTTCTTAAAAGCATCATGGAAGTGATAAGCATCCCTTACTCAGGGAGATCACAAGAAGGAATTACAACCTATCAAGCCAACAACCAATTCAAGAGGGTCATTAGTCTCTCCACACCATTTATAGACTTCACATACAATATATATATATATTTTTTAACAAAGATACAACTTCTCATTGAAATAATGAAAAGATAATACTAGACTTCACACACAAATTAAAACTAAACCTAGTTCTTACACACAAAAACACAACAATATAATGAAAGACATAACATAATTGACCAAGGAAGTTGTAACTCCATTTTCAAACATTCAACCATGCCATCGATTTGCTATTTGGAGCTAAATTTCCTTTTTTGCCCTTCCTCGAATAAACCTTCATGTGGAATTATGGAAACGGGGAGGCAATGGGGTAGGGACGGGGAGGCATTCCCATCCCCATCCCGTGGGGACATTAGTTCCCAGCCATCATCCTTGATTTTTGGAAGTGGAGCGGGAGCGGGAATTATCGGGCTGGGGATGGGTTCCCCTGCTGTAATGGAGATAGTAGAACTAACGGCAAGAAAAAATGGCGACAGATGGGCAAAGTAGTAGCAATGGATGTATAGTGACGATGGACAGACAATGACGATATATGGGCGAAAATTGCGATGGACGAGTGCAGTTGATGGGGTAGTTCACGACTATGGGGAGTTGAAAGAAGAGTGAAGAAGAAGGAAGAGTGATGAAGTGGAAGAGAGAAGAAGATAGGAATCATAGGATTATGATATTTAGGGTTAGGGTTAGGTTTTTTCTTTTTCCTTGTCTCACATTTTAAATATAACAGGCAAAAGTTGGGTTTTTTTTTCATGCCTAAAGAAAAGGTATATATAATTATTAAATATTAATATTAAAAATAAAAAAATACAAATAAAATTCCAGGTGGGGTCAGGGAGGGTAGACCCTTCCCTGTCCCTTACCAAGGATTCGCTTGGCATCCTTGGTTTGATCACCATTTCTGGTCAAACCAAGGATGTCCGGAGGTATTGCACCTGCGAGTTTATTTGCCATCCCTACTTGTCACTCAAACTTGGGAGACAAATGTGTAGTAAGGGGTTGAGGGATCATCCTATTGTCAAGAGCTTTCTTCAATTGAGAAATATAAACATAAAACTCCGGATGTATTTGATTAGTAGGAGGGAGCTCCAATTTATATGCAACAAGCTGTAAAATATGGAACAGACCTTAATACTTAGGAGCTAGCTTTTCATTATGGCACCTTGCTAATGAGTTCAAATGATGAGGATGAAGATTTAAGTAAACTAGGTCGCCTTCCACAAATTAAATCTCTCCTATGCTGATCTTGCTTCTTCATTTTTTTTTATTGAGCTTGTGTTTAGTGGTCCTTGAGATCTTAAAGAGCCTGATGTCTATCAACCATCTGATTTACCAAAGCGCAATTCCTGTAGTTGATTGGCCATATTGGTTAGTGGAGGAGCATGACCATACATAATTTGAAAAGAGTAGTGCTTGGATTAGCAGAATGCGGTATTACTCCAATACTCAACCCACGATAACCAATACAACTATTGAGTAGGTGTCTCTCGAGAAAAAAGTTGATTGGCCATATTGGTTAGTGGAGGAGCATGACCATACATAATGTGAAAAGAGTAGTACTTGGATTAGTAGAATGCGGTATTACTCCAATACTCAACCCATGATAACCAATACAACTATTGAGTAGGTGTCTCTCGAGAAAAACAGTGCCAGTACCCCAATTGGCCATTGGTTTGGGGATGATGGGATGTGCTCTCTTGAAGTTGAGTTCCATGCGATCAAAATACTCATTCCAAAAATGATTGAGGACAACTTTATCACGATAAGATACAGTAGATAGATAAGGGAAACCTATGAAGTCTAACAACTTCGTTAACGAAGATGGAGGCAATAGATTTAGCAGAAAATGGGTGTCAAAGGCCAAAAAATGAGCATATTTGCTAAGCTGGTCCACAATCACTTCATTTAACGTTAAACCATAATGGTAGTCCCTCTATAAAATCCATAGTACCATCCAGTACTTGCTGTGGATAGGCAATGGTTGTAGCAATCTGCTGGTGACATATGCATGGTTTATTTGGCTGACAAATAGGATATTCATCCACATTTTCTTAACATCATTTTCATTCCTTGCCAATATAACTTAGAAGTGAGCCCTTTATATGTGCGCAGAAATCCCAAATGACCACCCATGACTGTGTTGTGAGAAGTGTAGAATTTAGAGCTAAGTTGGAAGGGATGAAGTATTTGATAAAACTAACCTGTCCTTGGAACAAAATTTGGGTCATTCTTTAGTTTTACCAAATAAACTAAAACTAACCTATCCTTGGAACGACATTTGGGTCATCCATTTAAATCTGGATTTCAAGATATTAGAGTTAAAGAAAAAGAGTGAAAGAAAAAGACAACATACCAAGCTCAACAAAAAACATGACAAACAAAATAAGAACAATAATAAAAGCCAACAATGAGATCAAGCTAACTACAAACAAAACAGGCCACCAAGATGCGAGGACGCAAATAGAGAAAATTTTTAAGAGTCTTTAACTTAGTGCTCGCCAAAATATTATAGTTTTCTACAACTAAAAATTAGTTTTCTACTATAACTCCTAAATATACTCCGAATTAAACTATGAATAAAGATGCTTAAAGAATTTCTCCAACCTCATTTATTCTTTTCTTTCTAATATTCTGTGTCACATTGCTAATTCACCTTTTCATTTTCTTGTAGACAATATTCTTCCTTTGGTTTGCATTATCTGGATGGCTTTTCCGATTCTTAATATTTGCAACGTGGATACTACCTTTTGCCGGTCCACTTCTCATTGGGACTTTTGCCAATAGCCTTATAATAAAGGTAATTCCACCTTGCTCATCATTTTCTGTTGTATGTGTGAGAGTGTGCATTTGTGTAATAACCAATATCTTATTAGCTTTCTGTGATGATTTTTCTAGTTGTAGCTCAAAATTGTGCAAACACTTTTGTTAAGAAGCCACATAATAATACCTTTTAATGATTACTAAAATTAATGATATTTTAGTGGGGAGTTGATAAGAAAACTCTAACCAATGAATCTAAGAACCCTTATGATTATGCAAATTTCTAGATCACAAATGCTAAAACTACAAGGAAGAAGTTAGAACGGATTTACTTGGATGATCAAGATTAAGAGTAAGAAAACTTGTTTCTAAACTTAAGATTTGAATCCCTTCACGAGTTAGTTTGATCAAGGTTACTTGAATGATTCTGGCGTGCATTGCATGGGAGATACTCAAGGTCAATAAGCTCAAATTTCATATATCTCAAATCTCAAATCTTAAATCTCGAGTATGAATTGCAATACATCTCACAGCTTTATAACCTAAAACAAGCCAATAAAGTTGATTTAAGGTTGTAACCTCCAAAACTTGCCATTATAGACCACTAGCTAAAATAACCTAAAGTGTAATGGAAAGTCTTGAAACAAAAGATTACAATAAAAATGCACAATAAATCTGAGAATTAAACTTCTGCATCAGAAAAATCAAGAGTGGGTAACCTCTAGGAGTAAGAAGTGGAGCTTGAACAAGTTTGAAGTACTTCAAGTCTTGTTTCATTAAATGGAGTGCTAGTTGCTTGATTTTTCTTCCATAAGCTTGAGTTGCACTTGAGTTCATTTAACGCATCGCATCTTGAGCTCAACTTTGAGTTCCATTAATGTAACTTGAATTCGCCATAAATGAGACAGTGCATTTAATGCAACTTCATTTTGAAGCTCTTCTTCACTTAAAGTGAATAGAATGAACTTATTGCACGAATTTTTCATGCCAGGAGTTGTGTACACACTACAAAGTAGGAAATGCACTAATATTTGATTGTAGGAAGTTGAAGAGACAATTCTCCCTTTTGTGCCTTTCTTTATTTTTTTTATAAGAGACCAAACTTCCTCTAAATGAGAAAAATTACAATGTGTGATTAGGAATCAACTTGTGAGAGCAAATAGGACTACTGAAAATTTCCTCCAATTGGCATTGATAAAAAGAAGAATTGTGGTTTAGGGTGGGAGAAAAGCCTCTTTGTTTTTTGTTTCCTCGTATTTTTCATTTGTCAGACAGAAGACTGCACTCGATGGCCTCGATGTTGGGGAATGGGGGGATGGGTTGTCTTTATCTCTGGGCCTCTCTCGGTCTTTAACTGATAGAGAGACTCGAGATGTGTCTGAATTGATCCACATGCTCTCTGCAATTTCTCTCTCTTGTGATAGGAAGGACTCTCGTGTTTGGTCCCCTAACCCTTCTAGGGGCTTCTCTTCCCGTTCTTTCTTTAAGCTCTTATGTTCCCCTGATTCTCCCCCTGCGGCCCTTGTGTTTACCTCGCTGTGGAAAGTGAAGATCCCGAAGAAGATTAAATTTTTCATGTGGCAGGTCTTACTTGGGAAGGTCAACACCGTGGATCGTATTCAGAAGCGCTCTTCTTCTTACTTGGGGCCACATTGGTGCGTTCTTTGTAAGCGGGAATCCGAGGACCTTGATCATATTTTATGCCAGTGCTAGTTTGCCCAGAACATTTGGGGCTGGTTCTTGGAGACTTTTGAAATTCTTGGGCTTGTCATAGAGGGTGGGTGTCGATGCTGGAGGAAGTGTTGTTGTTTTCCCCCTTCTGCGAGAAAGAGAGTTTCCTGTGGGGTATTTGGATGGAAAGAAACAATAGAATCTTTAGGGGGGTGGAAAGAGAGTGGGAGTTTGTTTGGAATCTCATTTGGGATCTCATAAGGTTTAATGTCTCTTTATGGGGTCCGTTTCGAATGTATTCTGTAATTATCAGTTAGGTCCTATTCTTTTGGATTGGAAGCCCTTTCTCTAGTCTGGCTTCCTTTCTCGGGGCTGTGTTTTTTGTATACCTTTGTAGTTCTGTTTTGTTTTCATTCTTCTCAATGAAAAGTTCGGTTTCTTATTAGAAAAAAAAAAAAGAATTGTGGTTACAAATAGAGAGCTCCAAAGGGAAGCTTTTAGTTAAGCAGTTTCCAATTTCCCTTGCTTTCTTTAAACATTCTTGGACATTCTATGATTTCTCTTGATTCAAATTTCTAAACTATTTGCTGGAGAAAGGACATCAAATACTTTGAGCATAGGGACAGTGGAAAAAAAAGATGGCTTTGACTTTTACAGAACAAATATTCTAGAGTAGGACGTCTTTTCTCTAGATGACATCTGTTGTATTTACCCACCCAGCAGTAGGTTTCATTAGAAAAATCTGATCTTCTTCAAGAGTTCCAAAAAGCCAAATATGCCTGAATATATTCTGAATTCTGATGCATAATATGCATTCTGTTAAGAAAGAGAAAAAGGAACTGCAAGAGTGAACACCTGAGTTGTGAGGAACATTTGATGATAAATGTATTTTATCTCCTTTATGTCTTTTCACCTTCACTCCACGGGAGTTTGTATCTTTGAATGTTAAAAAAGGAAAAGAAAAGAGTGAATACCTGAATTATTTAGGATCTCCCGGATTGCCAGTCTTAGGGAGAGTAGCCACACCATCAAAATTATCATACAGAAGCCGAAAGAACTAAGATCCTAGATTGGCTGTCTTCTGTATTTCAAGTAATAGAACGAGAGTAGACTAATTATCTATTTCAATAATCATCAGAGGCCAAATAAAACTAAGATTTCAGTAGGAAGTCCCCCTGTCCTGAAAAATCTGCCACTATCCCATTCTTTAAGGAGGGATTTGGTCAATTTGAATAATAGTTTTGGAGGTTCTTGTACTACCCGACTCGTATATTCATATTCTAGAATCTAGTACTTCTTCCACTACCAATTTAATAATTTATCATCAAAAAGTTCCTCACAACTTTCTTTTGCATTTTACTAAAAAAAAATCTTACCCTCATTTTCCATTGCCTAGTAAGGCTAGTTCTGTGACTGCTGCTATGGCCTTGATGCTCTCTCTTTATTTAGAGAAGTTGGAGAAGAGTATATGATTTTCCTTTGCCCTTTCCAGCTATGTCTCAGCTTTTGTTCGTGTGTCTTGGAACAATCCCTGTTTATTTTGGGACTTGGAATTCCACAGAAATTTTCATGATGACGAACCAGTTGACTGGACACTTTTTTGGAAACCCTTCCTCTCATGATTCCCAATGTAAGGGCAGATAAATGGGAATGGCCCCAGTATCCATCAAAATTTTTCTCGGACAGCTCAGTTAACAAAGATTTATTAAAGAGGCAATACCAATTTTACGAACCACCACTAAACAATGAGAGGAAAAGTACCTCCTAAATCAGTCATGTTCTTTTTTTATGGGAGAAATCACAAGAGCATCAACACAAAAGATAACATCCGAAAGAGGTTCCAGATGCTAGCTCTCTCTCCAATATTGATGTTTGTGTCATGTGCAAGCAAAAATTGGATATCCAAGCCCACCTATTTCATAAGCCCAACTACAAAATATTGGAATTAAATGCCATCCATTTTAAATAGGAGGTGGCTCTTCCAAACAATATGAATCTCCGTTTTTCCATCATATTAAACGTCACTGATATGCTAGAAAAGGAACCCTTATTCTTGAGGTTCCAAACTACTCTGTCCCTTCGTAGCCTAGCCTAGTTAGGGTTAAGTTTCAAGGAAAAAATGAAGCCTTCTTTCATTTCTATGCCACAGAAGTTCTCTTCAATCTGAAGTCCCAGCCCTGTGACTGCAATAAGGTCTCTTTAGTGTTCGATATGGGACAAATTTGTTTAACATTAGTCGGGATGATTTGATTTCTGAAGATATTATATTTATATTGTATGAGGTGATTTAAAACTGGATTTTGCCTATATCGACATTACCTTGTGGAGGTGCTGGACCAAGGACACCTTGGTTGACTAGTAAAACTGTTCCTCCCTCAATCATTATACTTTTAAAGTTTTTATATCTGTTTATTTTCTTTCTTTTGTTGTATGAATATTACCCAATTGATGTCTGAAAAATTTTGTATAGGGTACTTGTCCTGCCTGTAATAGGGAGTTTGCTGGGTACAAGAACCAAATTATTTCCTGCAGTGGCTGTGGAAACATAGTGTGGCAGCCTAAAGGCCAAGGGGAATACAATTCAAGAAAAGGTAATTCTGGTTCTAAGTCACAACCCAATGTTATTGACGTGGAGTTTGAGGAGAAATGACAAAGCTAGAACGGATGGTGAATCGCTCGACCACCTTTATCGACAGGCACGCCGTGACCAAAATGAAGATAGAGTTACCAACGACCATAACTTGGAGTCATTGAAGTTTCATGTTCGTGCGTCTTCTCTTCTCCCTTGATAGTTACTGATGTAGTTTGGCAGCATTTGTTTGTAGTATCAATACATGATATGGTACATAAATGCGAAGTCCACAGGTGCTGGATCATTTCTGAAATATACTATCCTCACTTCTATTGGAGTGATAGAAACGGTCTTTCTTTGGAATTTCTTCATTTTTATCTTGTAACAAATGTCACTAGAGCCGATGAATTAGTATTATTGTCCAACTAGAGCCTCGAGTTGTAAATTGGATTAATTAATGACCCGTTTAGTAACATTCATATTTCTTGTTTTTTTTTCTTTCTTATCAAAGAAGAAATAGAACTGCATTATGGCAATTTTTTTTTATTCTTGATTTTTTTAGTTTTCTACTTTTTAGAAAAGTTTTATACGAAAATTAATGTTCTAAATTAAATGTTAAAAAATATTATGTTTTACTTATTTATATTTATTGTGCATTTTATAAGTTTAAAGTGATTAAGTAATATTTTTATATATATTTTTGAGAAAAAAAAGTGGAAATGGAAATAAGAAAGAATAAGCAAGAAATTTGATTTCGTTGTTTCTAATTTTATACACGATTTTGAAAATGTTTGTTAAAAATGAGAAAAGTGAGAACTGAGAATGTTACTCGAGATGATTTGTTTGTTTGGTTGTAACCTAAGAGGATTTGTTTGGTTGTTGATTCATTGATGAGTAGTTTAGAGAAACATTGATTTTTAGATAACAAGCTCGAGGGGAAAAGACTGAAGTTTTTCTTATTAGACTTAAGATGAAATATTATATTATTTTTATTAGGTGATTTAAGAAATCAATGAGGATTAACTTTAAAAAATTATTTAATTAAGAAATTATTTTAAAAAATAAAAATAAGAAATAGGAAAATAATTCCTCCCATAGAGCACAATTTATGTAAAATTTGATGAGAAAGTTTGCAAAAATGGAGAATGGGACGAGGTCCCTACCTTAGAAGAGGCTAGAAACCCAAAAATGACAACTATTTTTAAATAATGTTTTATTTTAAACTTATTCTAAATATATATCAATTACCAAACTATTTATAATAATAATACTTGGAAAATTGTAGGTCGTTTCTTAAGGGATGATGTCACTTTACGTTTCACGCTACCTACAACCACGGTAGCAAAATAATAATTATGTGTTAACTATGGTATATGTCGTTTATTGAAAAGATAATATGCCATAATTAAAAAAAAAACGAATCATGGAAATGGGGAAGCCTAAAAGTGACGTAGGTCGTCTCCTCCAATTTTCCAAACATTATTTTTTAAAATAGTTTGGTGATCAACATATATTTGAAATAAATTTAAAAATAAAACATTATTAAAAAAATTCCTAAAATGACCCTTAAACTATCTGATAGAAATGGACGACCAATTGACCTATTAGTTAACTTATAGGAATGGATGTACAATTACAAACAAGTTCTAATAGAAATTTTAAAAAAATGTTATTCTCAAAACAATAAAAAAAAAATGTATTCAGTAGTTTTTTTATCCTTTAAATTATAAAATATTTTTGTAGCAAGGACAAAACTTCTTCCCTCCCAAGTCCCACAGTCCCACTCAACAATTAATTTTCCTTTTTCCATATGAAATAGAAATATGATAATAAATGTCAAAAAGAAAAAGAAAAAAAAAACCCCAAAAAGAGGAGAGAGAAAATATCATTTATTCTACGTGGCGCACAACACTCGCTTCTTCTCTCTCTCTCTCTCTCTTCCTGTCACTGTTCGGAGCTGAGTCCTTTGATTTCTCAGAAATTTTTTCCATCAGAAGTTGCAGAAATATATAACAGAATCAACGAAAATTTTTGAACCATTTTCTGCTTCCCAGATATTTTCAATGGATCGAATTTTGGTCGCTTCATATCCAATCAATCACCTCATTCGACCGCACAGTTTCCGAATCGATCACTGTTGGAGCACTGGTTTCAGGTTGAGTCCCGTTAAAGAGCGGCAGAAACTGAGCTCGAGGTGGCCATGCCGATCCATGGCCTCGGATTCCACTGACTCTTCTTCTTCTTCTTCCTTCGCTCCGTCTTTAGAATCTGATCCTTCTGATAAAACTTCTGCCAGGTAGGTCAATTCTTGCTTGCGCTAGCTGTAGTAGGAAGTGAGATAATTGTTGTTATGCTATTCTTTATGTTGATTCACGTGAGGAACTTGCAAAATGGCTGGACAATTTCTTATGTCATTTACTTAACTAAGCAATGATACCTGAAAATGGCCCAATTGTTTCGAGTCCTGTTTTTTTTCCCCCGGAAGTCGTCAATTTACTGCGCGGAAGCTTGTGTTATAATTGTATATCAAAGCAGGAATTGGGAAAATGCTCATGTGATGAGTGAACGCTTGGGCTGGACTGACTGGTCGTTTTTGTTCTCATGATTCGAAGAATTTATTATCTATTCAGTTTTGAAATTACCCGAAGCTCTTATCTTTATAGATGCACTGGTTTTCCTTGAATTTACGTGAACCCTTTTGACTGTGAAAAGAATATATGGACTTCGGCATGTACCATGGAGCAATTTCTAAGATTTAGTGCCACGTCCCCAAGGATTAAAACCACTTTTAACACTTCGAATTTTAGTTTTTGATTCACTGTCTTGACGAAATTCTGTCTTTATCCAATATATATGACAACATTGACA